AAGCTCCAAACACTGGATYAGAGACACTGACTGTTAATGAACTTAGTGTGGAAATTATGTGGAAAACAAATGACTGCCAAGCTGAATGCTTGTTCTAAAGTTGTAGCATGAAGAGCCAAACGTGCAAGTGCTTTCTTGCACTAAAATCTCTACCCCCCCCAGCTAGTGACTGCTTTTTAAAGGATAGTCAAGTCAAATGAGGATTAGCAAACCAAAGAAGCGACTTGTCCCAAGCGGTTGGATGTTTAGAATAAACTRTTTTCACTCCTGCTGTTTGCCTGTCTTGCTCTCCAATATTCTTTYTGGAGATGTGTTGGTCCTGACTGCAATTGCTGCCCCTGCAATACTGCTGAGTGCAAAGCAATGCTWCTTGACAAGGAGCCTTAAAAACTGAGGCAGCACCAAAAAACTTGGCCTAAAAACCTGGATTGTATCCCTTATAGGAACTGTGCTTTGTGGCTTTGTTATTTGGCCGGTTTTGCATGAGGGTCCTTGTCGAGTCCCTCTAGTTGGTGCTCCGGAGCTTACAGTGGTAGGGATCGTGTGTGGTGTTGAAGTGCGGCGTGCTTGTAAGGTAGCTGGGCTTCACGTGGGGACTTTGCATCCTCCGCACAGGAAGGAGGAAGCTCTTGCAGTTAATGCAAGGGCATTAACTACACCTTGGAGGGAGCCGCGTAGGTGTGTGCAGCCACAGGTGTGCTCGGCCCTTCCGGACACCRAGCGGAAACCTCGGGGCTGTCTGGAGTTCGTGTTCAGCCTCTGCAGGAGGCTGCASGGGTGGCAGCCTGTTCTCTACCCCTTCATCTCTCTCAGCAGGCAGCTGGCAGCAAGGGGCACAGCAGTTTTGGTTTTCATAAATGGGATTTCTGCTTTCTCTCAAAATATGGAGTATATGTATTGACAAGATGCTGCAAAGGAGAAACCTGAGTTCTTGCACATCACTGCTCAGATGGATATAGGTCTTGCACCATCTCTATAAACAGTCTTGACCACAGTATGCACTTGGCTTGAAATAATCTTGCTGATGTATCAGAAACAGTAGATCAATATGCTTTATAAATCTCTGAAAGTGCTAGGAAGGAACACAGCTTTTTCTGCAAGATTTAGGCATATAAAAATGTGCATGCCACTCGTATTTCCAGAGTGTTAGGTTATTATTCATCTGTAATAAAGGTGCAACTTGATCCTGAAGACTTAGCTAGATATTGTTAAATATTTCCAAAATAGTCTTCCTTTGTCCTCATGTTRCTGGTGCTGCTGGGTATGTGTGGATAGGAATCACTCCAAATCTCCTCTGTCCCCGGTTGTGGAGGTCAAGATAAAACCACCTCGGGTGGCTCTGAAGAACTGACCCGCACGCAGGGGAGGAGGGTGACCGGGCTGTCCAGCTGTGCCTATGCCAGGGGTRTGGATAATCCCCCTTGGATGTCATATTAGGCTCTTTACTGGAACTTAAGCTCCTTAAAAGCAGCCGTGAAGCAGATGACTCTAATGGCCTTTTCACACAAGGGAAGTGCTTTTCTTTAATACAAAGATTTCTTTGATTTAACAGGTTTACCTGTTTAAACTGATTTAATCAATCATAGGCTAATCACTTAAAATGAAGCTGAGGCTGTGTTTTGACTACTTCACTATGACCTATATCTTAATCTCTTAGGTGTGCTGCTTTTAAAGGCATTCTCATCTTTCTTTACTGATGAGAAGGCGCAGGGCTGCTTGTGAAGCAGACTGTTTGCAGGGATTAGTGATCCTTGAGATGGGTGTGCAAGCTGAAGATGAAATTCTGGGAATCAAAAATTAGGCCTCACTTACAAATGTTGCATTAGTGTAATGTTCCATTAGGATTTGGTGTGTCATTAAAATTGAGGGGAAAAGCTGGAGCCAGACAGCTTCACTTGTTAAAGCTTTATTTAATGCTCTCCTATTTTTAGGGTTAAGAAGRCAGTGCTGGAGAATACAACAGTGCATGGGAAGTCTTAGTTTCTTTCTAAATTTCAAAGCATGTTTACTACTTAGAGCTGGAGATATACAATACACTTCTGAAATGCAGGTTTACCTTCTGGAAATCAGAATACAAAGGAATAATAAATTTTTATAGAAGTAGCTTGGCAGGGTATTGTTCTGATGCAATATTTGCTTGCTGTAAGCCAAAGTGGGACAAAGCTCTGAGACTTTTGTGATCTCCACTTCTGGGAAAGGGTCACCTGGTTTTGTATTGCTTTTGGGAGCAGAATGAAGCAGCTGGCATACTGTTTCTATTTTCCCTATATATTTAATGAAAATACATGGAAAATCATTGGTTAGGCTATGGCTCTTATATGTAAACCCAGAGACATGCAGGAAAACATTGCAATGTTAGTATGTCAGTGTATTTTTATTTAATGGAACTGATCTATGAGCTAATGCTTGAGCAGAGTATATGAAAGCTGATTTTTCTGTTGCTGGCCCCTGGGTGTTCCTTACTGGAGATGGGGAACGTTATTTCTAAGYTCTTTAGTTAAAGAGTAGACATGGAAGAGATGGATGCAAAGAAGCTTGCGATGTAGCAATCAACTTAATTGGAACTTGAGTTGTTTGCTTTTGAGACCAGATCCCATTAAAATGGAGGGAAGCAAACAAAGCTTGAGGATGAATCGATGACATAGGCCCCTGTCCTCCCTTTCTCTTTTGACTTTTTTGATTTTTCACTGAAACTAGTGACAACCCGATTCATGAAAGCAGGTGATAATTTGCATAGATAAGTGAAGGATTAAAGCAGTGAGAAGCTGTAGATGCTCCTACAGGTCAATCCCCTCCAGTAATGTAACTTCTACAAATGAGATCTTGATTATGCCTGAAAACAGTGCTTGCTTCTTCCTTCGGAGGAAGATTTCCTCTTTCCCCATCCTCTTCCCAAAGGGTAAGGCCAGTGCAGACCCAGGTGTCAGTACATGACTCATTGCAGAAGACTCTRCAACTGTTAACTACAAAGGTCTGAAAGTCTTAACTTCAGCTCCATCTCCATGTGCCTGTGTGTAGGTGTGAAATTAAAGCACCTTTTTCCATCTCTGTTGTCTCTAGCATTGTGGTATGTGGGTACCCATACTAGGTCGAGGGAGCTGAAGAAAGTGTGTGCAAGGAGAAAGACTTGTGAGAGCTGCAACACTCTTCTGCTTCAAGTAGCTTTTATTTTGTAGCTACTCCAAAAGAATATTTGTGGTGGGAAGCACAACAGAAGTCCTTGCCCCGCTGCTGGGTGAAGTATCCCTTTCTCTTGGGAAGCAGGATTTCCAGCCTCGTAATGAGAGGGAAGAATATCGATTGGTTGTGATRTGTTTACGTGTGGGTTTTCTTGTTTTGTTTGATTTTGTTTCTTTCTGTTTTCATATACCTTATTGGTAGAGATTCAGAAAAAGCCTTCTGGTAAGTTCCAGAGATAAAGTGAGCAGTTAATTTGGGAGGTGCTTGAATATTTTAGGGCTACTTGTACGAACGCTAGTTGGCTTTCGCCCTTTCTGGCTGTTTCTCTTCCTGTAGTGGGAGCAGCAGCTAGAATGTCAGCCAGGTTTACATGCTGACCACATTAAATGCCTCTTCCTCCTCTTTYAGTTTGCTTAAAGATACTTTTTAAACAGGTTTAGGAGCTATGCACATAATGTGATTTATAGCGGTAACTCTTAGTATTTTGCACTTTGCTAGGGGCTTTCCTTTACTAATGTGCATAAGTAACATTGGGCTGGCTGCATAGGAGAGCGGCCGTGTACACTGTGGCCTTGGTGTTACAGGGAAATAGCCCTCGAGAGGGTGCAGCCCTGGGGTGCATCACCACGGGCCTTGGGTTCACAGCAGGGCTTCACCTGGGGACTTCAAATGCTTTTCAGACCGGTCTGTCTGTAGATGGCCTCGCTACAAGCAGCCCACCCGTGGTTACCGTGCGGTGGGTTTTAGTGGGCCGTGGCAGCAGCGGTCTGTGATGCAGCGCGGCTCTGGTGCTGTCACAATGGAAGGAGCTCCGCACCCGGCAGCCCCACGCACCGCTGCCGGCACCGGGAGCGCTGCGGGGTGACCGGGACCAGGACCGGGAGTGCTGCAGGGTGGTGGTGACCAGGACCGGGAGTGCTGCAGGGTGACCGGGACCAGGACCGGGAGTGCTGCAGGGTGATCGTGACAGGATTGGGAGCGCTGCAGGGTGACCAGGACTGGCACCGCTGCAGGGTGGCGGTGACCGGGACCGCTGCAGGGTGACTGGGATTGGGAGCGCTGCAGGGTGGTGGTGACTGGGATTAGGCGCGCTGCAGGGTGACCGGCACCGGGAGCGCTACAGGGTGGCGGTGACCGGCACCGGGAGCGCAGCAGGGTGACTGGGACCAGGAGTGCTGCAGGGTGGACACGTCCGGTGTCTGGCTGGTTGTACAGGCCTCACTTTGAGAGCCTAACTGAGCAGCTGAAACGCATATTGCAATTTTAGATCTAGGAAGCATTAGTAGAGCCAGTCACTGAGTGAATTTTCTAGATGGATGCATCTTTTATGCCTTAAAAACAAATCCTGTATAATCTTCTATAGCATCCCCTGTGCTAGCAGAAATGACAAATTTCAGTGGACAAACTGTTTAATATCTGCTGCAACCCCCTGGTTAAGAAGGTGAAACTTGTGAAGAATGCCTATAAGTGATAAAACTCAGGATTGTTGCAAATATGAACTAGGCTTAACTCCMACAACTGTGCTGTTATGCTCATGAAGGTCTATATAGCTTATCTTGTGGGTGGGAGAGGAACATACATTGATACTAGCCCCCAAACACCTCAAGCTTATCAAGAGAGATTGGATAGTAATTGCTTTGGAATTACTGCACAGTAACTACTTGTCTTTAGTGTCTTTTAATGTGCATGTAAGCAGAACTTGTTTAAACTTGTAACAAGCATTTTATAATTTAATTTGTTCACTGTACACTACCAGATGCATAAGACTTCAGCACTGTTTTCTTTCTTTTTCCTTTTTTTTTTTTTTTCAGATGATACAGCTCTAGAGAAAAGAAAGACTTTTCTCCGGGGCTTGCTTTACACTATCTGAATAGTGGAAGCACAATGAACACTACTTAAGGGTTTTACTAGAAATCAGAAGTTGCCTAGGAAGAAGTACGTTGGGCTTGAAGGAGTAGGAGCTCAAGGAGAGCCTGAGCACTGCTAACTGGTGAGCCTGGTGAGGACAGACAGCCTAGGGATGAATACCATCGAGACAGCCAAGCTCGAGGAGCACATGGAGGGCCAAAGCAATGACAYGTCTAACGGCTACGCGCGACCTACTCTCTCTGTTAGTGAGGAGAGCAAAAATGGCACCAGCAAACCAAAGGCTTTATCCAATGGCTTGCGGAAAAGCACCAAGAAGTATCCTGACTACATCCAGATTGCTATGCCTGCGGAAGCTCGGAACAAGTTTCCCCTGGAGTGGTGGAAGACAGGCATTGCCTTTGTCTACGCTCTCTTCAACTTGATTCTAACAACTGTCATGATCACTGTGGTCCACGAGAGAGTACCTCCAAAGGAGCTTAGCCCTCCCTTGCCTGACAAGTTCTTTGATTATATTGATCGTGTGAATTGGGCTTTTTCTGTATCAGAAATAAATGGGATGATACTAGTTGGATTATGGATATTCCAGTGGCTGTTTCTTAGATACAAGTAAGTAGCTTTATTTTTTTTTCTTCTGCTATGTGCTTTGAAAATGTTGGCTTATTTACTTCGGGAGGATTGAACTTTATTCTCAGCCAGTACTCAGCCATACAGTTTTCATTGTATGGCTTACAATGAAAAGAAGAAATTCCATAATGTTCAAAAGAAATCTTAAGGTAGAATCTGTAGCAATGTGATGCAGTAGAGCTGGCAGGAAAAAGGCAAAGGGATTAATTCATTTGAAAATGATGCACTGTTCATGCTGGAAGTGGAGACAAGGGTTTTTCCCTAATGATAGAATAGTATTTTTAATATGAATTTTTTGACCTTATGTGTGCTAGTYGTGTTCTGGGACTGGGCTTCCCAGAGTATGTTTATTGAAATGTGTATGTTTAAAAAGGATAGTAGTGTTTTTCTTAGAAAAATTCTCTTCCAAATCTAAAGAAGAAGCCACAGTTCACTAGCACTGAACCAGAAGCTCTCTTGTTTTCTCTATTTAAGCGATAGAGACTTTAGAATTGATTGCTTCTTTATAATATAGGATGGAAATATTAARATTGCCAGACCAAGTGAAACAGTGATTATGACAGCACACCTAAACTGTTTACCTAAGCTAGACCCAGGCCAAGCTACCGTGGTTAGATAGACATGGTTGAAACTCTGTAGTAGTGGCTGTCCTGTCCTTCTGGATCTGCCATCATCTAACAAGACARTAACCTGAAGACAATGTGCAAAGAGTGTCGTTATGTTTTTTGTATTTGACTTGGCCAAGTGTGGAGTGGGGGTCAGRGAACGGAACTCTAGAGATCCCCTGCTTAATTTTAGGGGTTTAGCCATTTAATAAAGCTGGAGGTCCCAAATTGTTATATGTGAATCCTTCATATGAATTTGTTCACTTTCTCTTTTCAGATCAATAGTGGGACGCAGATTCTTTTTTATAATAGGAACTTTGTACCTGTACCGCTGCATTACCATGTATGTTACCACCTTACCTGTGCCTGGGATGCATTTTCAGTGTGCACCAAAAGTAAGAGACTTTGCTTCATCATACTTAGTCTTCGAACCCTCATGTCCCTTTACAATACAGTTGATGCATTCCAGMTACATTGGTCATTTAATAACCAATGTAACTTTCAACTGGTATCTTTCAGAAAAGTAGATATGATTGCTAGCAATAAATCAAGTTGCATGAAATAATTGCAAGAGCTTGAAGCTCTTGCTAAGATGCTTCAAAATAGAGAACCTGTGAAATGCTCCTGCTGCTCAATGAGTGAACTGACTTGCTGTATTAGSCTTTAAAAAAAAAATACAAGGGCGGGGGTGGTGATGAGGTGAGCTTATGAACTTCATCCTGTTTCTCAGYGACTGCTCTGTTAAGAGCCCTCTGAAGACCTTAAGTTGACTGTGTATCCCTGCCAAAAACACAAAAAGTGTGTGTGTGTGAGACTAAACCAGGTTTAGTTCGTTTAACTAATCCATATAGATGCATACAATAATGCTTAAATCTGTCAGTGCAGTTAAGCAGTGATTTAAGGAATTGTTACTATCGGCTTACATTAGTAGAAAGTTGTAGGCCTGGGACCGCTCCAATAAATGTGGAGTAAATAGTGCATCATGGCAGCTGYGCTGACAAACAAAATGTGAGAACAGTGGTTCTGCACTGAAGATGGACATYTTGAAGCTTTTCTGTGCTGAAAATCACTTTTACTGCCATCAGAAGGAGATTAAGAACTCTGAAAACCTCTGTTAAAATGCATGCCTACAGCTAAGGAAACCATTTTTCTCATATATTCTTCTTGATTCTAGAATACAGTTATCCTTCTAACTATTTTTGTAAAGAGTTGATTTGAACAGAGAAGTGCAACTGGCTGATTGCCTAATGTGTAAAGAATTGAGCTGATTGTAATCCCTATTTAAAAAAAAAAAAAAATCTCCTGCATGCTACTAGTCTGAGAAGTATGTGGAAGAAACCAAGGAACACGCAGACAAGTGTTTCCTTTTTATCTCCAGCTCATGTATGTTTGGGCAAGAAGTTTAATCAAATCACTTAGCATATCTTTTTTTTCCTTCTTGTTTTGTAGTTGAATGGAGATTCTCAGGCAAAGGTGCAGAGGATCCTGCGACTGATTTCTGGTGGTGGCTTGTCCATAACTGGATCTCATATACTGTGTGGAGACTTCCTGTTCAGTGGTCACACTGTGATACTAACGCTCATCTACCTATTCATCAAAGAATGTAAGTTACRGTATTTAAATATATTTTTGTTCAGATCTGTACTGGCAAAGCACTTGATGGACGTGCATTATAAAAGTGTTAYCTTCCAAAGGTTACTGTTTAGCTATTACAGAAACTCTGTGTTTGTCTTTAAAATGCATTTGCAGTGTGGAAATAAGGGTTGTGGGTGGTATGAGCTTTAAGGGCCTAAYGTGCCTAGACACATTGCTTCTATTTTTATAAATATTGTGATTACTGATTGAAGCAGCCAGGTTTTCATTATTCACTGACAGATTATTCAAAATGAGTAAAACATGCTCTATTTAGATATGCAGACTAGCTTTTTAAAGTGCCTCATAGACCTTAGGTTTTAGGCATTTTCTGTGGCTTGAGCATTCCCAAATCTGATAGAGGGTAAGTAGCCCTTTACCTTGAGGCTTGACTGCTTGTGACTGCAGGAGTTGGGTGCTTCTTTCCCAGTTCATATATTTGGAGTTAGAATCTACTCCTACTGGCATCCCAGACAACGCAATTGCTAGTTTGGCTTATTGGCATGTGCAAATTTCCCTGAAGCAGAACTAAGAGTGGCCAGTATTAGCCACATGCTTTCCTTTGCTAAAATGTTCAGAGAATTGTTACAGTGTTACATTCTGCCTAAAATGCTGTATAAAAAAAACACTGAAACCAGAAAGAATAGAGTATCAAAGCATTCAAAACAACCAAAGGGTTTGTCTTACCTCTATCCTGTCCCTTTTTCACGTGCTGTGACTTAACTGGAAAATTTAATTTGACTAGAAAGTGGGTCATAGTGCTACCTGCGTAACTGCAAGCTCATCTGGGGTTTCTTTTGCAGAATAAGAGAACTACAGTAAGTTAGCTCAGTTCTTTGTCCAATTTTGACAAAGCTGGAGCTTTTCATTGTGTATTTAAATTAGTTGTGTGTTTAAAATTTAGCAGCCTTTGTTTTTTGTTGTTGTTTTTCCCCACTGTGAACTCTCTGCCTCCTTCCCATTTGACAGATTCACCACGTCATTTCTGGTGGTATCACTTGATCTGCTGGCTGATGAGTGCTGCTGGCATAATTTGCATCCTCGTTGCTCATGAACACTACACTGTAGATGTCATCATTGCCTACTACATTACCACACGTCTCTTCTGGTGGTACCACTCAATGGCTAATGAAAAGGTGAGTACTAAGTATGTTTATAATCAACACATGAACTGCATTTGTTCTGCAAAAACACCAAAAATAGTTATTCAAATTGGTATTAAAACACAAGTTCATAGCAATATAGTTTGACATATTTGAGATATAGCTTGGCAAATAGCTTGACTTTACTATGATTAAGATTTTTTTTTCTTGATTGGATCTGAAGTGAGTGACAAAACTGCATTTTGGCACTTCAATGTTTTGTTGCTGTGGTACAGAGTAGACCTTAATTGTTTTAGATGGAATAAATAGTAGCAACACTACTGAAATTTCTTTCCAACTTAAACTACCAAGAACTCCAATGGCAGCTCTTCCATAAATGTCAGTAACATTGCCTGTTCAAAAGACATTTGCCTTCACTGGTTCAAGTGCCCTTTTGAGTAGGAGCACAGAATATCAGCTTTCAAGCYGTTTTAACATAGTCTGCAGCTATTGGCCCCATCATGGGGGAAACATGGCAGAAACAGGCCTTCAAGGACTGCATTCACAAATACATGGTGTTTTGTGCCTCTGAATAATATAGTTCCAAAATATTCCTCTGTAAACAAGATGTTCAGTTATCAACRATTTTGGCATATGATATTATAATTATTATATAAGATTATATATTATTGTTCATTATTATCAGGTTTTTCCAGGCTAAATACACCTATTCTCCACATAGGCATGTTGAGATATATTGGAACTTTTAATTATCCTTATGTCTCRATTGATTATAATGCTTGGAACTGATTATCTTGTCTCTGTTTCCTTTTCTTCCTTGCCTGTTTGTGCCAAAACAGACTTTAAAGGTCTCTTCGCAGACAAATTTTCTATCTCGAGCATGGTGGTATCCAATATTTTATTTCTTTGAGAAGAACGTGCAAGGCTCAGTTCCTTGCAGCTTCTCCTGGCCGATATCCTGGCCTCCCAGCTGCTTCAAATCTTCATGCAAAAAGTATTCACGGGTTCAGAAGACAGGAGAGGACAACGAGAAATCTACCTGAAGAAATGGAAGAAAGCGTCTGCTCTGTTTTTTACCAAAACACTAATGCTGTAACCAAAGTTCTCAAGAGGACTACACTGTAACTGAAGAAGTGGACCAAACTTCTGTGCAATTGGTTGGAAAGACAATTGTAGACAAATATATTGCCATTTCATATGTTTTCCTATCCATCMCACTGTACAGGCCTATTCTACTCTTCAGTGCTAATAGATTGCGCCGCTTGATGGGATTCTTTTCTTAATGAAAATGGAGCAGGACTTGGCTTTACAAGTGAGATAGAGGTGCCAAAGAACACACCCCTTTCATTGCTAACTGTCACTCATTCACAAAAGCACCCCAAAATCTTATCTTCAGGGTTTCTGGAGTGTAAGGGCAAAAATGTGTTAAAACTTAGGCACAATGTCTGTGTGTTGAGATGAACAGAAAATAACACAATGGTGGGAAATGTTTTGTTGCATTATTCTTGCTAATGAAGGTAAGACCTTGCATCACTGGTACAGCTGGAAGCGAGTCTTGAATTTTTTACACTCTATGGGAATGAATATCCTATGACCCTAAAATACTACCACTACCACCATCTCCCATGTATTCTACTATATACCAATTTTTACATTTTTATTTTATATTTAAACTGTTGTGCTACCTGGTGACTTTGAAAATTAGGAAAAGCTGCTAATAATGAGAGCTCAAGGGGCCTACAATTTTATTTTTAAAAAGATACTATTTCAAAGTCTCAATCTTTAACTGCAGTTTGGGCTTGTGTATAGCTATACAGTGCCTATCGGTGTGTATACATGTAAGCACACACATATATTGCTGTGTAGTTAAACACATTAAAACTACTTAACTGAAAGGAGTGTTTAGACTGTTCTTAATTCAGGCAAGAGTCCTATAGATTTCACCTCCTTAAGGAATGCAAGGCCCAGTCCTACATGGGGCTATATTTTTTCTTTTAACTTTCATAACTATCTCTTGCTGAAACTGTTTAAAGTGTGCTTGGGGTCCATGTTTCTGTGTTTTTAATCTCTTGGCACATTTCTGATTTATTAAAAACAAAGTGACAAGTAAATACATACAACAGAAGCATTTCTTTAATTATTACCTGAAACCATTTCATATTAAGTGACACTAGTTTAATTCACATGCAAATTACCTCTTTCCCAGGGATTTAGTCCAGCTAGAATGGCTATATAAGCATATTGGTTGAGATTGCAGGAAGTTACTGTGGTGTAAATGTGTAGCAAAAAAATACAGATCAACAGCTACCTAGTTCTTGTTTGTTTTTTTTTATTGTGTTGTATTGTTTAGAAGTGAAATAGAAWATTAGCATTCCATGTTTAAGTGTTTGTTCTGTATTCATTTCTGCAGTTAGTCTGTTTTATTTCCAAATCTTCAGTAAAAGCCAAATCAGTAAAGCCTAATAGCAGAAGAAAAAGACGTGAAGTGGTATTAAAGGAAATGCTGCTTATTTTTAAAATGTCCTGAGTGGCGAGTGTGAACATAGTTTAAATAATGACAGCTTGTTTTTAAAAAGGATCCAGTTAAATTAATAAAATGGGATATAGTATTCAAATATGACTTTTTCAGTTAAGGGGATCAATTACTATAAGTTGTACATGAGAATAATCTGTGCATTTCAAACTTTTGTGCATTATCAAGTATAATACAATAAAAAATGTTCCTTATAAAACATTCTTGGTTAAACTTAGAAATCAAAATAGTTCTGCTGCTGTTTGGTTTTGTTATTTATAGTGAGCTGCTTTTGTGCTTTTTGTTATTTTGGTTTTGTCTTTTAACATGCCCCTGGAGGTTGTGGGTGTGCAGACCTACTTGTGGGCTCATTTGATTGTTGCTAGCAGAACATGAGCAGCTCGAGAAAATCCAGTCTCAAACATTTATATGAAAGTAGTTTTTCTGTATTTTTGAATTGGTACAAAGTTAGTCTATAGATCTCCCAAAAAACTTGCTGTATCCATCCAACTTTGTACAGCATAATATTTTAAAATATGAAGTTGAGCCATATATAAGAATTGTGAATGAGTTTCATCAATTCATGCCTTGAATTCATGTGATGAAAAGCATTCCAGTAAGGATCTGAAACAGCTGGTATCATCTGGTGGGTAAATAACAAATACTTTAATAGCCTAGATATTTAGTGAGCTAAATAACCATTACTAACCTAGATATTTAGTTAGCTAAATAACCATTGCTAACCTAGATATTTAGTTAGCTAAATAACCACTACTGTATTGGTGAAGTTTTTTAATCTATCAGCAAATTATAGTTTCCTCATTCAAGAATTCTTTTTTAATACTTATGAAGTTCCTACTTAAGGGGGAAAAAAAAAAAAAAGAAAGAAAATGAAGTAGAATCAATTAAACATTTTGTTTCTATTGAATGATTTGAACTTTCACTTTACTGCTGGACTTCTATTGTGGTAGTTTAAACATCAGCCMTGGCTCACACTACTTAATTCTTGTTCTGGCTCAGCCCTGCTTTAAGTGCTTAAACTTTCTCCATTGTTTCAAAGCCCTTAASGGGTGTGGATATATTGTTGATATGTGACAAAGAATCATACTTTTCTGCTACCTCAACAGCTTCAGTTTGCTTTTATTGCCTTAAATAGTTTAAATTGGAAGACTTGAGCCTATCTGTAAAGTGATTAAAATGGGGTAAGTAATGCCACTTTCTAGTGCTTGCTTCTATACTATATGCAATATAAACCACAGCTGTCATGTGAAAAAATTATTTTTAAAAGCCTACTGGTTGCTGTATTTAAATACTATGAAGTTGACAATATGGTTTCATTGTAAGAGGGAAAAGGAATGCAATTGATAAAAAATGAGGAAGAGGAGAAAATAATCACTTAATATACTGGTCAGGTTTGACTGTAGGCTCTTACCTGGGCTGTATACACCCTTTGTATTATAGTGTTACTGTAATTGTTTTCCCTTGAGTTCCAATAACGATCCATATTTGTTTCAAACTGCACCTGTGCTGTGATTGGAACTAAAATGCTCCCTCTTCCTACTGAGGAGCTTTTATGTTGAACTCTTGAGCTTGCCCTTCCTCCAGCACTCACTTCAATGCTTCACTTGCATCCGAGGTTTCCTGAATTCCAAAAAGAAAATGAATTTAAAAGACTAACTTGCACATTTAAAGAAACGTGCTGCTACATGATTATAATAGATACTTAACCAATGCCAGCAATAACAGTGGTTTCAAGTGCATACTGATGTAAATTTTTATTGTATGTGCTTAGCACTCCCATGTGGATGCAAATGGTATTAAATGTTAATTGTTCTGCATTTGTGTGTTCTTGGAAAGACAGCTGTGGTTACAGTAGCAAGAAAAAGGCAACGCTATAGAAGCCTTACTGGACATGTTTACCTCATAAAAGCAGAGAGGAGAAGGAAAAAGCAATATTTAGTAATCTTTGTGTAGATGATGCTACTTTCATATAAATGAAAGCTCACTAAAAGGCATAGCTGGGATGCATGTTAAGAGATGAGAGAATATTTCTGATTAGATTCTCCTAGTGTATCTGAAATCTGAGTGTGCTCAAAGCCTGAATTTCTCCCTTGTCCTGTCATTAGTATGCAGCTGAACAGTTTGCTCTTCCTGTATAAATTATTTCGTGCCTGTGCAAATCCCTTTSCTTGTTTCAGAAGATATGTATGACTTGCAGCTCTAGAGATCAGGTCCATTAACCGTGGTGCAAGGTAGAGCCTTTTCGTTTCTTTTAAAAAGGATTTTCATAGGGCTTTAACTTAAATGACCTTGACTCTAGTTCATCTTTAATTGTCCTTTAAGTTTCTCTATGAAACTAATGTACTGAGCAAATACTTAGAATTTGTTTGCTTTACTGGCTGGTTTCACAGCGCTCTTTTCTTGATATTTTCAATATATAAAATATTTTGGATTTACCTAGAAGTCTTCTCTCAACATACAATCAGAATGACACTCTAAGATAGGATTCTTCTGCATTGAAGTATTGTACATCAGGCACTAAATTGGCAAATGAAAAAAGTCTTAAAACAATACTTCTGTTGGACACTGTTCAGCTCAGTGTTCCTGCTTAAGTGCACATAATCTCCCTATATGTTAAAATCATTTTGTAAGTTATCATTTATATGCTACTGTTATGATGCTTCCTGTCATCCAAAAAATCTGGTAAGGCAGTGAAAATGAAGGCCAGAGGCTTCTGTTTTAGATATTAAAAGGTAAAGGAAAGGAAAACTRAAGGATGAGATGGTGCCTATGTGCATTCTCTTTTTTTAAACAAGAAACTAAGCTATAAATGTGCTAACTTCTAGGTACTATAGAGCTAACCTATATCTGTACTAGCTAGCGCTGCAAAAAAAMCAAAACTGGAAGGTATTGGCCTGTATTACATCTTTTATTCCACAGTACAGCTGTGTATCAGTACTATGTGATATATTGCTTTTCAAGAATAGCCTCCAGATTGGGGTCTCTTCAGACCAAGATGCTTGCAGACTTTTAATTATTTAACTGTGATTATCAAACTTTCATATGCCTTTCCTCCTAGCTGCACTAACAGCTTCTTATGCAAGAGTAAACTGCTGCGGTGCTCTAAATGTGATTTAAAAACTTGCTCCAGCTGGCTGAGGCTTCTACAGATTTTACAGCTTGTTTAAATATTACTAACCTGGAACACAATGCATAGGAATTTCAGGCTAGGTATAGGTATATTCTTTCTGGTGAAGATAGCTTGTGAAAATTATTGAAAAAATGTTCATATTTGAGTAGATAATCTTTCCTAACAAATTCCTTTAAGTGCCTGAATGATATTTTAAGATGAAATAACTATATTGATCAGTTGCTAATGTGGATCTCAAATCTTCTCTGTTGTTGAAGGTTCTTTATTTTTCATGTGTTATGTGTTGGTGGCGGTATGTGTTTTGTCAGTTGTTTTTATTTGTCACAGGAAAGACTTGATTTGCTTTCCAATGAAAACTTAGTTTCCTGAGCACTTGGAATTTAACAGCATGAGAAGCTTGTTTTTTGTGGTTGTGTGCTATGGGCTCATGTTCACCCCAAAGCTCCAACCCACATAGGAGGGAAGGTGGCTGTTTCTGGCAGAACTGATTGTGATTGCAGCCAAATGATGGAGCCGCGTGCTACTGCCGGGCTTATCTGCACCGTGGTGAACAAAGATGCTCTAACACCACGTTTTGTTTGGTGGTCGCTTTCCCAGGTGATGCCGTGTTGACACTATATTGGTTGGCCTTGCCCTCTCGTTGGATATGGAGTGAATGTTTTTGTCCTKTACTTGCAATGTGGTTGGTCACAGCTGCTTATACTCTCGGTAAATGTCAATGGGAAAATGTAGATATATTTTTAAGTCCACGTGTGTGTGTTCCTTCTGGGAGAAATACATATTTCAAGCCATGCATATGTGCTGTTAATTCTAGATTTTGCTGTTGTATTCTGCCTAGTACCTTGAGGCAGCTAGCATTTGTGCAACTTAAAAGTCTTATTATAGGAGAAACTGGTGTGCCAATTGATATCTTCACAAAATACTGTTTTGAAACATGTTTGAAGGATTTTGTTTGGTTTTGTCTTTAAACAAATGATTAAAAATGAGTTGTCCAACTCTCTGAAATGGAGGCATCTTGAGTAGCTGTGGACCCAGCTGCAATGAGTGTGTAGGGATGTCCAGAACAGACACAACATTGCATGCAGGGCATGGTCTCCTTCCACGTATGGGCGGATTGTGTTGCATCTGCGTCCCAGGTTGTGCCATCTTCCATATCCTGCTGGGAGCCGTTTGGGGCTCAGAGATGGCAATAGCTGCAAGGTCAGTTCTTCTAATTGCTTTCTGTTTGTAAAAGAGAGACAATAGTAAAGCTAATCACCTTAGGGCCATGTCCTAATTCAGCAGAGGATAATAAATTGGTACTATGCTCAAAGCATGAAATTAAGACTTGAAATGTGTAGGCTGGTTTGAGCTCCTCCTTTATTTTCTATTTTTAATTAGAGGTGGCAGGAGAAGAAGCAGGAACATGATTTTACCATTGTGTGTGTTGTCACTCTGCCAGATGAAATATGTGTGTAGACATTCAAGGTTACTGCTAAGCTTGCTTCAACTCTTCTTTCATTTTGGGTGATTTGTTGCTTTTGTAAATGCTAGTTTTGCAATCCATCTTTCACAGTTACAGCCACATGAAATGCAGCGTGTGTGTTTTAATATGGGCGGAATTGTGTTCGTTTCATCTGCTTCCACTAACTGCATCCTAAATAGCTCAAAGCTGGCAGGGATCTGACCTAGTGTTGATTTTGGTGTGTCTTCCAGTCTCAAGGGAAAAGGTGTTCTTACTCGGAGACACTTTTACACAGCTTGAAGCCTGAAACTGTTTTCAGCTACAAAATCTCTAGCATCGGGGATGCACTTTGTATATCAGGAAGCAGTTGCTTGGAGGAATTCTTGATGTGCAGCTGTTAGTGAATTGCTAGTAGTTATTTTCCTAGTTCAGGAGAGTGTAAGAGAGATGACTGTCTGGCTGTCTTGCAAGGCTGGTGTTGGACCAAAACCTGAAAGCAAAACAGGAYGTCATGATTTGTTGGCTGCAGCTCTCACTGCCTTCACGTGACTTGGMGCAGAAATCTAAAGACTTCCGTTAACAACAATGTCACTTCTAAATGCAGTGCTGTTTCTGTGGGATGACTGGAGATAGGGCTCCAACCAAGGAGAAGTTATTCAAGAAAAGCTAATGTTATTCCTTAAGTGAGACCTGTGCTGAACCTTCCACTAGTGCTCTCAAACTGGGCTTCCTTTTTGCCTACAGCATTCTCAGTTGATAAAAGTTGGCTCTTTAGCTGTAAAACTTCCAGGATATTAATAATGCTTGCGGTGTGTGTCAGATCTTGAAGTGAGTGACAGCCGAGTCTTRTGACTTTCTGTATGGCATGAGATGCTAGACTACCAAGGTGAAAGCTGTTGCGATCTATGGTCAGCTGTTTAAAGAGCAAAATACTTGCACTAGTATTTTGCAATAACATGAGCATCTTTATAACCTTTTTATCTCAAAAGGTGCTATCTCGATTACTTGCACTGTTGACGGTGAGTTTGGCAAAAGCCCATTGAAGAAACTTGTCCTTTGTAGTTTAATCAGTTGGCACATCCGAGTTGTAACTTCTTTATTGACAGTCTACCTACTAAACAAATGCAATACTTTGGACAACTTATGTAACCGCACATGTCTTTAAAAAGCAAACCTATGTCCGTATATGGTGCTAATAACCTCTTGAAGTTATCCAGAGCTGGTATTCTTTTCCCACCCCTTAACACTGAGCAGAGTTTTGTGATGGACCTTTTCAATAAAGCACAATTTTTCACTTTAGCCTGTTTCAAGTGCTTTTTATTTAAATATATTCCTTTTACTTTTCTGCTCTATATAAAAACTGAAAAATATTTTAAGAGAAAAAAAATAGGAGTGTATGTGAGTTTTAACTTGAACTAGACCTCCAAGATCTATTTTTTATGTGCTTAGAAAGCACAGCTAATGTTTAAAAATTTCGTCTGAAATGTAAGAATGATATTGAGTAAGATTAAGGCGTAAGAAATTAGTCCTGAGAGGTGGTAGTGGCTGTGGAGGGAGGGAAGGGTGCACAGATATTTTGCTGGCTTCATCATTGAAGTCAGAGAGAGGATGTGAAGTGGACAAAATCATAATAGAGAATGCTATTATCCAATAGTTCCTTTTTTTCTGGTTTGCTTATGGACTTATGAAGGAAGCTGAATAGCCTTGTCTCTCAAGAGCAGAAGTGAAACTTTGCTTAAACAGCAAAGCAAGCTGTAGTGGGACAATGACTCAGTACTTTTTAAAAGTGTTGGTAGTATGATTATTTGTTTTTCTCTAAGTTATGCCTTAATTTTTAGCTAAKCCGAACAGAAACTTTGAGATATAATTGTGAATATTCTTTCCAGAACTGATCTTCTAGATCAGGAMCTTGTGAAAGTGCCTTAAGCTAAGGTTATTTGGATTATAGAAGTCGCTAAACTTCTGTTTTAAAGCACCCTACAGAGGAAAAACTGTTTTGTGTGTTCTGATGTAGAAAACTTCCCAGTCATTGTTTGTTTTGCTGCATGCAATGAAGGGCACTGCATATGCTGGACTATTTTTAAAGAGGCATCTTCTCAATCATGTTAAAACAGGGACATTCTCATAGTACTAGCAGTAGTAAGAACATCTTCTCTTCAGGAAGATGTGAAACCTTTAYGTTTTATTAAATGTCCCTGAGCTTTCAGCTCAGCAATTGTAAAAATGCCTTTGGAAGAGGCAAAGGCAAAATAATCTGTAATGCAGTCAAGTCACAGCAAAAYGGAACTTCTGTGCAATATAATGCATCTTTCAGGGAAAACTGGTTATCTTTCATTTACCAWACAGTGCAATATTTACGTAAATGGCTGCATGTATAAATGCCCTGCAAAAAGTATTTGTGAGCATGCAATGTGGCCTTTGAGTAATGAACCACTGAGTGCAAATTTTCCTTGCATCTATTTTGAGTTAGATGCATGCTTTTAAGTATATTAGTCTTATGTGGAGAAGATTCAAGTGTTTAGAATGAATTTGTGACAGTATTTTTTATGAATAAAGTGCCTATGGAAATACACATCCAAAAGTTGCCTATAAACTGAACTAAGCATATAGAAAGAGCCCACACCTGCGGAACGACAGGAAGCTCAAATTGTGTGCAACTCATCAACAGAGTAAGCACTGATAAGATTCAAAGGTGCAAATAAAGTTTGAGTACAAAATATTACTTTTAAGTTCATTTAGTTAATTTAGAAAGTTATCTTCAAAGAAAGAGTTAATTTGACTTTTTCCTTTCCCTTTAATGATAAACTTTGTTCTGGTGGAGGATTTTTTGTTTGCTTGTTTCATGGATTTTTTTGTGTGCGTGTTCAGAATAGAATTGGTAAATTCTTGCCCAAAATGTAGGGCAAAACAGTTTGAGGGATAGACTTAAATTATTAAGTAAATAGAAAGTCACTTTTGTTACCAATATTGGGAATTAGTGAGGAAACATTTGAGGAAAGCATTATTGTGTTGAAGCTTGTATATATAGTTATTAGGGACATAGAGAATATCACGTTTTTCAAGTTGTATTTTACTATATTATGCTTTAAAAGGAAGCTTTGGGGTCTTAAGTGGGAAAAAATATTGTCACAACAATTTCTATTAAGTAGAATCATCTATTTAATCACATTTCATATGAAAAAGTCATTTTAATTAAAAATAATGAATTTATCTTGCACAACCTAGAATTAGTCATATGCCACTGAAATTGATCTTTCAGCTGCATATGGAGGGAAGGAGAGCGCTCTTGTTACTTCTCAAATATACTGTAAGGTGAGACAAAATTACTCTTATGTAAAGAAAACAGGTAAGAATTGTATTTTTTAAGTTGGAAAAAAAATAACTTATTTTCAGATCTCAGAACTCAAGCCTCAGATTTAAAATGTCTTTAACTAAACTTTCCCATTTTGTCTTGCTGTTATTGTCTACTAGTTGTTCCAAGTTGTGTATTTTTTTTTTTTTTTGTGTTCACTATGGTTAAGCCACAGCATTTCAGCCAGAAGCTGCATTCTGCTCTTCAAGGTCACTTGCATTTATGAAACCTTTTTTTTCTGCTTAATCTGAGGGGGAAAAAAAATGTTTGCCATTTGAAGTTGTATCTATGTCTAAAATCCATGTAACTTGTCTATAACTGCAATAAAACCTTTTTATATAGTTCAGCCACTCTTTTAGAGACACTTGTCATTATATACTTACTGTTAAACTATTAAATTTTTCTAAGTGGGTAAGTACCCTTTGGTGTCTCCGCTCTTTCTTGGGATCCTGGTTTTGGCTAACCTACTGGCCAAGGTTGTCTGTGGTGCCTTTTTTTTTTTTTTCCTTTGGAAGTATTGGGGTCACTTGAAATAACAGAGGCAATTTTTAAAACATCTAAGTACTTGTTTGGAGAACAAACTGTAACAGCGGAGCCTTTGCTTGTGGAATGCTTGTAGGTTTAGCCCTGGAGCTGCCCTGGGTTGGACAGAGCGGTGGGTGAGCCTAGACCTGGCTCAGCCCTTGGGGGGGCCCTGGTGAGGCCGGGGTTTGGTGCGGGGTTAGTGGGGGGGTGTTTTTATGATCGGATTTTTTCCTGCTTGGTAGCGGGAAAAGGCTGATCGATCCTCACTCAGTATTTAATTTCTGGAAACAAGGGTTTGCAGGGCTGGTGCGAG